GTCTCTATATAATGACATCTTCATATAACGACAATTTTCATATATAGCGAACAGTTTGAGCAGTACAATTTTTAAAAAAATGCCATGGGAAAGAATGCCTGCTATGAATCACATCCTCTATAATCTAAAACAATCACGAACAAGTTCAATTTTACATTATTCTGCGGTTATAATGAACCCAGAACAAAGATAAAGTTATTAATTTTATGTGAGAAATTTAGTGGAAATACTATCTCTTATCTTAATTGAGGCTGGTTTGTTTTCACTTGTTTATATCGGGCAAATCTGCTTAATTAATAAAATCTTATATTTTTATATAACGTAAAGCGAAACAGTATTGTGAGTACAACAGTGTTGTTCAAACTTCCGACTATTTGTATGAATTGAAACGTTGCACATCAAATTATTAATAATATAAAAAACTTGTAAAATTATTCTCTAATTACAAGTTTTCGAAGTTAATTTTTTATTTTGAACTTTCATTCATAGATTTTATAAAATTTAAAAAACAAAAAAAAGAATAATTTGTTCTTTCAATCAAGTGTGATTAATGTTTAAATTTTTCTAGAATGAAGAAGAAAATATTTTTTTTTGATTAACAGAGGGTTTGGAAAAACTTTAATCACAAAAAAATTACACAATCTACATGGCAAATTTAATTAAAGAATTAAAAACTTTGAAAATATTTTTAACTTAGATTGTTAACGAGAGCTAATTAGTTAATATATATTATATACATACATATTTACTATATATAATTATATATAGTATGTCTATACCCTATGTCTTATTATAGGGGTATTATAGATACTTTCGTAAGTGAATATGTTTGGGTATAGTATACGTACACGTTCAAATGTACATTGCACGTGTAGATGTAAAGTGTTATAATTTAAAAATTATTATACTAAGCTAATTGCCACTTTAAATAAGGAAAATAAAAAATATGATTAACAGTAGTATTACATACTTTTGGACACATTTAATATTTTAATGTTAATTTTAATAAATAAATGAAGTGAGCATAAACGGATAAAATGTAAACAGCATAAGTACTTAATTTATAGTTCAATATAATATTATTGAAAAATGATATAAGGTTGGACGAAACATTGTGAATTTATCCCGAATATTTGATATAATGCTAATTTCCTATAAACTTCAAATTATTAAACAGGTTGATCATAAAAATGTCATCCCCATAATACTTAATACAAGGAAATAGATAGGCAATAGCTGTCCCGGATTAATCAAGCATAGATCATAAATTAGTGTTGTTACACCTGAAAACAGTTTCATAATAATAAAAATTTATAATAGTATGGTAATAAAAATTGCTTAAAAAATATTTACGTTTATCGGTAATAAAATTTAATTTAATATTTAGAAGCTCCAAATCTATAATTAACTTCTTAATAATTTATAACATGAATTTTAGCGGATTTTAATTTCTCACAATAGACTGATAAATTAAATAAGATTGGCATGTCAATCAAAATATTTAAGAATTTTGTGTGGCGCATGTTTGCTTGTTTTAATTTTAATTTTCTTTACGGTTCATTGTGTTCATAATAATTCGTTGTTTAAGGTGTATTGAATTGCTCAAGTCTAACAGAATTGAAAAAAAGAAAAACAAAACTTGTTTAAATTATTTTCAAAGTTAAAAAACTCACAAATTAAATAATTGATAAATAAACAAATACAATTAAAGTAAAAGTAAATAATTTTTAAAAATGTTTCTATACTACGTGATCTTATAAACGTTTCACCATTCACGGATGATGGCAAAAGAAAAAGTGATAAATTCTGCTCTTTTTCTATAAATAATTTGCTAGTGATTGTTTAAGATTGTCACTACATTATAAATATTATAAAATCTTAAACCATAATATAATTTGGAAAATTTGAAAATATTGCTATTAAAACTTTTCTGGTGGCAACATTAATTAAAATAAAACAGCAATATAAATAATATTCGTAAATTAATATAATAATAACAACAAATAGAATTCCCTGAATGAAATTTTCAGCACCTTACTTAGCAATATGAACGAAACTTCTCGATTTAACCTAAAGTACTGAGACAAAATTTGCAACTTGCAACTCGCTTGGACAATATAAAAATGGGCACTGTATGAAAGGGTTACGAATAAATCTATAATGCCTTCATAGTCATAATTAAAAAGCTATATCCTGACTTATATATCTGTCTTATAGAAATCAAAATTTTAAATATTGAGGTTACTTTGATAGAAGAAGATTATGAAAAAAAACCGAAATGAACGAGACTTCTCGATTTAGCAATAACTGCACCGCCACCTAGAAGATCTATTGTGCCCCTCACCACAAGCGTCCAGTGTCCCGCCTAGAGCACCCTCTTGGACCCACACTTTTGATGAATCCGAGCAGCTTTTCCGCAGGGACGTCCCACGATGGCATGCCCACCAGCCAGGGCCCAGCCAAGCCATTGATAGGTCTAACAAAAATTATGGTCCGCCTATTTTTCTCTAAATAATTCTCTAAATATTATTTAGTAAACATAATATTAAAAAGCTTCACAATTCTTTGAAAATAGTTTACGTGTTATTCCACACATTTAAAAAAAAAAATTTCAATTTACGTCACATTTTTAATTATTATTTACAATTTGTTCACTATATTATTGGCATACATATTATGCATATGTGTACTACAGAATAACTAGATAAATTAAAATTTTTTATTTGCTTATATAATTAAAAATATGTATGAAATAGATATTAGTAAAAATCATAACTTTTGATTGCGGTTAATTTATTTTTACACAAAAAAAAAAAATAAACATGCTTTTTCGAAGTCATCAGTTTTAATGAAATGAAAACTCGCTGATATCTACTGAATTATTATTCTAGGAAATCATTTTTATGGTAAAGTTTTCGGATTGTTTTAGCTTATCTTATAAGCAGTGGTGAGCTGAAGTTGATTCGGTCCGACTTGCGCGAGCCACTTGCTTTTTTATCTAATAATTTCCGAGCCGGTTATCAAAATGATATTGGGAAATAAAAAATTTAAACAAAACATTCAAAATGCATCTAGTGTAGCCATTTTACCAAAAGTCATGTAATACCAAATAAAAGAAAAAAAAAACGCTTAGACACAGTTTTCAAAACATTTGGGTCGGAATTTAGTATAGCAAGAAAGAATTATTTTCTGCTATAAATATTTAGTTTATATGACCAGAGAAAAAAAGGAGAGTTGTATTCAGAGAACCAAATTCGACTTTGGCAATATATTGAATAATGCATAAAATTCAAGATGAATACAAGCTTAAAAAAAACTTTTATTTATAATTTCGTTAAGAATTTATAGATATTAAGGTTCTATCAACCGGCTCGATATAAATTTCTCAGCTCAACATTGCTTATAAGTGAATATGCTATAGTAAACTTACATAATATGTGCATTAAAATTTTATTTGGTAAAATTAATCAATTCCAATTAATTACCAGCTGATTAACAAAATATTGGTTTAAATTATTGCAATAATTATTTTATATTTTAACTTTGTGAATCGAGACCTGAAAACTTAAACATTAAATATATTATTGTGCATTTGCTAGACTCGTAATATGTATAGTAAAATATACATAATAAATTATTAATGGAATCGTCACACATTACTAAATAATGTATGTAATAAAGTGTGTGAAACAATTACTATTTTAATGAATATGAGTAAGAAATAAATATTCTTATTAATTAAATATTAATTATAATAATTTCAAGTAATTATTTTTATTCTATAATTTTTTAAACTGATACGACGATAAAATTTTTAATATAATGTCCAATAGTGTACGTCATCAAAAAACTGAAAAACTACAAAATCTTTGAAATAGCTATTAATAATATTTTTCTCTGAATAAGTGACTTAATTTGATTTTGTTTCGAACGTTTCCACTTCTACAATATTGATGTTGTTTTTGTATTTAGTTAATACTATAATTAAAACTACAACCACATAACTGTAGTTCAAATAAATTTTAATTAAGATGCAAAACAATTCTTTTATACTATCTATTATATTTTATTTTATTTATGAAGTTCAAACATGTTTTTGTTATATTATTATATTGTACTATTTCTCCGGAACTAATAAAATACATAACTACAAAAATACAAAATTATATGAATGTATGTAACATTCATATATATAATGTGGTTTTAAAACAAATTATGTAGCATGAAAAAAAATTTATATAAATTTTAATACTTTCTCAAATGTAGCAAACAAGTACATTTTAATAATAAGAAAGTCGGACAATATTTTATGTGGTTGGTATCTCATCGGCATGAATGTTATTTTTTAAATAATACAGTGAGAAAATTTTCTATCTGTATTTTCATTTTATTTTTCTTTTTTACTATTTCATTCACAATATTTAACATCATTCCTTTCATATGTATTTAAAAATTGTAGTTTTGTAGTTCTTAATTTATTTTAAAATTTTTTAATAGTATGTATGTAGTACCGCCATACTTACATATCATGTGTATACGTTTATTTCTTATAAAATATTTTCCGGTAAAATAAGTGGAAAAAAAAGAAAAATAAAATTATACAAATTCTCTCACGAACCGGCGCATAAATAACACTCACACATACATACACTTGAAATTTACTCATATTTTATATTACTGTTGGCAATTTTCATTTCACCGTTAAAAATGTAAAAGCAAATTACTATAATATTGGTATACATAACGTATTTTTTTTTCTTTAATGCGAATGTATTTGATAAGTAAAAAAAAAGAAAAAGTTCCATAGAAAAAAGTGGGAGGGCAAGAAAAAAGAAATAAAGAGAGTTCTGTTTTAATAGTACAAAAAAATTTCTCTATTTAGAGAATTTCACTTTTTAATAGCAAAGCAACACAACATTTGTAGTTTGTATAAATTCTTCAATTCGCTAGACCGCTTCTTTATTGACTACATTTTTTATTGTGTAATTTAATATTTTAAATTGTACGTGATGCACAAAAATAAAATTCAAATAAAATTTAAATATTAGTTTTTAATTATTTTTCTGCGCCATATTAATATCTAAGACGGTATGCATATAAATTGTAGTTATTTAAACTGAATTCGGCTATTTCTATATATTTTTAATATTTATATTGTTGTGAATAAATTAATCATATACATATAAGTAAGATATTCTGTGTTTACGCCACACTACATTGTAGCTTATAATGTAGTCATTCAATTCGTCTATATGTAGTTTGTTGCCTCATCTAAATCTCAAAAAATGCATATGTATTAAGTCAAGTCTTTATACAGCTGTTAAAATACACCACAAACTAGAATTGAACTTTTTCCAGCAATTTTTTTTTCTCTATGGATCAGTGACGTGACGACGTCGGTAAAACTACAAGATTTTTGTATTTATCCGGCATAGAAGAGAAAAAAAAAGTAAAAAAAGAAAATAATTACAAGTTTTTAATAAAAATATTCAGAAATAAAATTAAAAAAAAATATATGGATATTTCATTTTAATTCAATGGACTATATGTGTATATTTATTACATTTTGAGAAACGTGGTAAATATTGTGAGTGGTAAATAAAAAAAACAAAAAATTAAAATTAAAAGTGAAAAATTAAAAAAAGCCGACAAAATAAAAATTTTTTTTAAAAAATAAAATCATAAATTTATTTTCAAAAAATATTTTAAAGTGTGAATATTTATATTTGCATATTATACAGTTATAATACATACATGTATGTATACAGTATGTATGCCTAAGTATATATCTAAATGTCATCATATTTTAGATTATCCTACGTACATTTTGAACGCATACAATCACATATAAATATTTCAACTTTTTATAAAACGAATATATTACGTATTGGTGATGTTGTATGTATGTAACTAACTAGTATACGTTACGTGTATGGTAAATATAATATATTCTATGTATAGTGTGTCCTATATTATTATAAATATAAATTTGTATAGAACATATTAATAACGGTGTTGAATGTAACAAGAAAACAAAAACCAGAAAATAAAGAAAATATTTTAACTGCAAATAATAAAATAAACAAACGATTGAATTGTATGTGATGAACATGAACGCATAGAACACGTTCAGGTATAAACGCACAGGTGTTATATTTTGTGAAACGAATTAATCAAATAAAAATTCGATAGGTATATTAAGTATATGTATATATTTACATAAATACATGTGTACATGCTATGAATGTTTGTATATTATATAAGTATACGGTAGTAGGCATACATACTTATCTCATATAATGTGTGTATGGTTATTCTAAAACGTATACAATATCCAAAATATATAGGAAAGAAGAAGTGTACGAATTTTTTTTCAATATTTTTTCTTCTTTCTATTTGTGTAAGCTGGGGTGTTTATTATTTGTTTTTTTTTTTTTACTTGTTTCTTTTTATTCGTTTCATGTTCCCGTGTTTTTTTTTTTCCAAATTTTTATTTATTTTAAATATGAATTTATAATAGCGAATATTATAAATCACCTTGAATTTTCTTTTCTTATTTTATACTTTTTATTTTCGTATATTTTTCTTAAAATGTTTTTATATATTATTGTTATATAATATAGAGATGTTTGCATATATAAATATACCCAAGTATAATAATAAATTTTCGATAATTTAAAACTCAAACAAAATATATAAGTACATATACATTTAAATGTTCCTATATCTTATATAGACCTAAATATTATAATTATGCAAATATAAGTTACTAGGCACTTGTACGTATACTTAGTGCTTTTTTTTTATGCCTTGTGTAAAATAAATTAGCAACTTATTCGAAATAAATTTAATTTTTTGCGAGAAATTTAAATTTATTTCACATACAAGCTAAATTTTTAAAAATTTAAATTAGATCAAAAAATTTGTTTTAAATTACTTTTTATTACTTAATATTTTACCGTAAAATTTAAAAGAATATTAGAAATTTAATATGAATATTTATCTTTGTAATTTCTCTCATAATAAAAAACAATCTCTACGAATTTGGTTTGCAAATAGTCCACACTTGAAAAACTTGTATTTATCTTTTAATCAAACTCAGTTTGAACACTTTAAAATTCTTTGACGCATCCTCGTACAAACTCATTTAATACGATTTTGAATTACTAATTTTTCCTACTTCAAGCCTATTTTTGACTATTTGAAATTTTTTTTGCATTTTTTCTATTACAAGTTTCTACATTTTTGTTTAAGCACAATATTCGTATTATATTATATAAAAACAAAAACCAATTTTGACATGCGGCAGTGCTGGGAAAAACGTTTTGTGAATATTAAATATTTTTGCTGTTTTCCACTCTTGTCCATTCTATTTACAATTTTCTATTTTTAAAAATATATGAATTATATTTTTTTTTGCTAAACTTAAGTTTTATTTGAATGCTTTCAAATTTTGAGTTGGTTTTGTCACCCTCTTCAAAATCCTATAAGACGTTTGATAGTTATCGGACAAGTCAAATTTCATTCCGCGTTTCTTTCATGTACGTGTTAAGAAACAATTCAGAGTATTTCGTAAATGGAACACTTTTCTATAAATAGAACTTTTTTCGAACAGGGATGAAAATTTAACCTTTAAATTATATGTAAAAAATTTTACTTTTATTTTCAAAAATTTAAAAATATAAAGTCAACTTCCGGGATAAAAGTACAACTGCACCTAACAATTACTATATTTACATTATATTTTGATGTATTTGTGAAGAAGTGTTTTATGTGTGCTCTTATAAAAAAATGCAATTTATAAATCACATAAAATTATAATAGATGTGAAAGAATACTCGCACTTTGAACTTAAGTCAGGCAAGATTCCTGCCGACTAATTTGTAAAATCGTACAGGTATATTAGTAAAAATCGAAATTAAGTAATTCTACTTCCTTCTTTATGATAAAACTCAGTAGTGGGACGAGAATATGTCTGACTCTACAAAATATTCTCACTAAAATATTTTACAATTTTTTTTGAGATACTTAAGTACTTAATTTTAATTAAAAATTTCATCGAATTTTATTTTTATCTCAATGATTAATTTGAAAACCGTAGTATTTAAATTTATTACAATTATTTATACATAATATAATTAATAACAATTAATTACAAGTTTTTCAATAGTAAAATAAAATTATTAAATAAACATTAAATATACGAGTATAAATAGTTTTTTTAATTTCATAATGAATATTTTATTTATTTTAATACTTAAATGGTGTATTTATTTATTTTTTAAATTTAAAATTATTTTCTGTTTTTTTTTTTTATTTTTAATTTTAAATAATAAATTGTACATCGCTAAATTTAATTGCAATGCGTGAAATTAACCGTTCATCAATAATAATTACTTTATTTTAAATATACATACATAATAATAATATATGTATGTATGTATGTAGGTAATTAAAAACTTTTTACCACATTTATAGGTAGATATGCTTTACTTTTTTACAAAATGGTGACATAATTCTCATTTCCGACAAATTTTTTTTTTTCATTTTAAATTTAAACCAAAGAATTCAAATGGTGTTATATTCGATTATACTTCATATACCAGCAAATGTATATACATTTGTATTTGTTGTTGATTTAATATTATTGTCCGATATTAGACATATGTACAGATATACGATCATTTATATAAATTATAAGTCATTGTTTACACATCAAACATTGTTTGATGTGTAAACATGGATTTTGTTTGATCTGTTGAAAATTTGATGCGAGTTCGATGTTTGTTCGACGTTTGATAAAAAAAATAGAAGATCGTTCAATCAAACAAAATCTATGAACAATATTTAATGTGTAAACGCGAACTGAGGGCTCAGGTAGTCATGTGATTGTTATGCGCACGCAATCGATTGCGTTAAACAAAAATTCTAATACAATTTTTACACTTGAAGCTAATTAATATATTTAACTAATTTAGTAAAATATTATTCATACTTAATTCAAGTAAATTACATGCTAATCGTAAAAATAAAATTGACATAAATAATTGGAAATTATAAGTAAATTTATGTGTTACGCATTCTAAGAAATCTAACAAGTTTTTTTTTACTTTAAAGTTGACTGTTTTTTTTTTAAATTTTGTTTCAATTTGTTGTACAAATAAAAGTAAATCATGTGTGCTTATAATGTAAACATATATAGGTACTATATAGGTACAGATATAATGTATAGGTACAGATTTTTTTCCAATTTTGTTATTATATAGCAATATCCGTCGCGTTTGTAAGTAATAATTATTGTTATGTGGTTGAAATAAATAATCAATTGAGTTATTAGCATAAAATTATAAACACCTTAAGAAATACTAAGAGAATTAAAATGTAATTTATGTTTACATTATTAAAAATAGTGGTGTTTTACAGGTAACTTTTACGATTTTACAAATTTATAACCGGTAAAAATAAGGTGCACGTGTATAATTAAAATATAAAATTATGTGAATACAGTGAAACTTTCACAAGACGAAACCGCTAAATCGTCACAAATGGTTCGTATAACAGAAAATTTCATTTTAAGGAGACTGGAATGCATACAGTTTTACCACAGGTCTATAATTTTAAACGAAAAATGAAATTTCATTTTATACAGAGATTTTCATATTGCGGAGGTTGCACTGTAAATAAACTTGGCATTATTTTTGCTTATTTAATTTATCGCTTCCGGTTACCATTATGTACTTTGATGTCTCTAAAAAGAAATTTATCTAATAAATAATTGATAAATATTGTAATTGTTGAAAAAAATTACAATATTTATTGTAATAGAATCTGTAATTAGAGAAAATCTATCCAAAAAACGAATTTAGATTTCAAGTGCAATAGTATTCACACATACAATTAAGAACAAACATAGGGGCACGAATAAAGAGTAAGGTAAATCGCGTTAATGGCAAACATCAGTATTAAACAGGTTTAATAATATATGATATAGGTAGAAAAAAAAATATTAATTATAAACTTTTGAATAACCATTCATACTATGAAATCATCTCGCGTAATAATAATTCTCTTTCCAACTGTTTTATTACTACTCTCTTGTACACACATATGTACAATATACATATTATTCATTTTTAAAAATCATAATGAATTTTTCAATTAAAAATATTTTATTTTAACTGTGTTCATATTTAAGGCTGTCATATTTTTGAATAATGAAAGCAAATAAGAAAATAAAAAAAATAATAAAAGAAGAGAAGAAACCCAATAAAAAATGTTCGTATGAAAGAAAATTTTAATAAAATTAACGCCAATTTATAAAAGACGGGATACTATACAATATAAAATTTTATAAAATATTAAATATTTACTTTGGAATACAATCAAAATACTATAAGTATTCATTTATACAGTGTGGAAGTTGTTATACGTAACTTTATCGCATTCAAGATGACAATGATTTTTTTTTCTTTGGGTTTAAATCCTGACTACTAAAATTCTAATCTTGATATAACAGTTTTTAAGGTGTCAACTGTAAATCAAAATTTTGATACAAAGTTAGGCTGCTAAGGGTAATCAAGAAAATGTGCTTGTTAATGTCTGTTTGTACGATCGTCCTTCGTTGTTTATGAAAATAGAAATACTGCTTGTTCGACTTTTTCTTTACCACCTTTTATTTCCAGCTTATTGCCTCTCAACATTAGCAAAAATTCCAATTTCCCACTCCTGACGAAACTCTAAGCCCATTCAAATCGGTCAAATTAAAAAGAAACAAAATCGAAAAAGAATATAATAATAAAATTAAAAAAAAAAACAAAAACATGTAATTTAACTCACCTACATAGTTATTATACTAAAGCTTCATTTTAATTTATATTACTGCCCCCAAAAGTATGCAATTGTATTTTATTTGACAAAATAATATTGTTGTGAATAAAAATAATATTTTAAGTAGCTATCCTTAGCATGTATTTAAAAAAATTGTGTCTTGTTCAAGGGAAAATTATAATTTAAGTTAAATTATTTTTAGTTATTAAAATTATAACGAGCTTTATATTAATTTAATACTTAAAAGTAACAATAAAAATATATTATTTGACATTCAATAAAATATTATACAATAATTAAACAAATATTCTAGATTTTAATTAAAAAACTTGTAGAGAGCTTAAACAAAACTATCAATATATCAACAAAATTCAATTATTTTGAGATTTTCATTAATAACATAATAGGTTAATAACACATATGTAGGTCTTGAGTCAAAATTGATTATATTTAATGTTATAATAATGGGAATGGAAACTAAAAAAGATGTTTTTAATAAACCAATATTACGGCAAGATTAAGTACAATTAAGTACAATTACTTAATTGGCTCTGGCGGTCATTATCTATTATAAATAAAGAGAATTGCAAATTAATTTTTTAGGAGTTCTACTGTACTTTATACGTCATATTACTTAATATTAAAATAATAAATTATATTTTAATAAAAATCCAAGTATACATACTACATACGTATATATATATATAAATTTAGATTTGCTATACATACATTTTTTATATTATACTTGGGCATATAAATTATAATATACATATACACATGGTTATACATACATACATACATATGTAAATGCAATATCATGTTTTATACTTATATCATACGCTAATATTTAATATTAAAAATCATTCGTGCGAATTCTATTTTTAATCATGTTTGTTTGTTTTTTTTTTTCTCTTCATTCACAAAGTTAAAAAAAAAAGTTTTTTTTTTTTTTTAATTTATTTAATTTTCTTTAATTTAAACAGTGTTTTTAAAATTTTTCCTCATAAATTTTTATATTTTTGTTGTTATACATATTATATGTGCCTAGTTATTATATTTTTGTATTTTGTTTTTGTTTTAATTTTTAAAATATGAAAACCAAATATATTTTGTTTTTGCAGTGATTAAATTGAAAAGAAAATATTTTAAAACATTATAAAAAGTATAATGTAAAAAAAAAAAGTCAGAAAGAGGAAATAATTAATAATAGTAATAAAAAACAAACACAATAAACAAAGAAAAAAAAAACCAAAAACCAATTAAAGAAATTATTGAAAAGATTCATTTTATAAAAAATCTACTTATACACCTGTACATTTCTATAATTAACTGTGTATTTAATTATTTTATAAAATATAAAAATTCAGTAAAGAAAAATAAAACCAACTTTTATAGTAAAGGGTTCGAAAATTTTGAAATTTTTATAAAGAAAAAATTTTAAATAAAATTTAAACACCTCTCAGAGATTACATAGGTTCACGAAAATTTCAAATTAAATTTAATTGAATATACAAGAAAAGATTACAAAAAAAAAAGACTTCACATTTCAGTCAAACACATACACATACGGAAAAATTATTAAAGAGAAAAATATAAAAAAAAAATTTTCTCGTTGTGCAAAATAAAATAACGGTTATTGGTTCCAATTCAATACAATTAAAACTTGTTAAAAGAAAATTACAAATAAAAAAAAAAATATATAAAAAAAATTGCATTATTAAAAAAGTTTCTGTTCGCATTTTTACATTTTAATAACAGATTTATATTTATTTTTCACAAAAAAAAATATAACAATTGTATTATTAAATAAAATATACAAAACTGTAAAATTCATTCTCTTTACAATATTAACAGTAAAATCAACAAAAAATAAAAAATTGTAAATCTGAATACTTTTTATTTTTTAATTTAAAATTGTAAAATTATTATAATTTTATTTCCCCATATTTAATATTGATTTCAAAGAATTAAATAACAATAAATATTGTTATAATTATTATTAAAAATATATTTAAATACTAAAAGTTAAGTGAGTACACTAAATAAAATAAAATAATATTTTTAAAAAATCAATTTAAATTTTTAACAATAACAACAAAAAGTGATTATAAAAAGTGATTAAATTTTTTGTTTCATTTTTGTTGATTCGCGCAATATAAAAGAATAATAGTTTTATCGGACAAAACAAAATTTATAAATAATTTTAAATAATAAATAATTTTAATTATTTAAAACACATTTATAATTAAATAACTAATTGTTATTTTTTATTAAAAATATTTCATTTTATACAATAACAAGAAAGAATTTTATAATTGTCTTAATTCTCTTCTATATTTTAAATAAAATATTGTTGAAAAACAAAAATAATAAATTTTATTTTTATTTTAAAATCTATTTGAAGTGAAAATTTTTTACAAAAAAAAAAAAAAGTGTTTTTAAATTCAATATATAAAAATTAATTTGTTTCAAATTTAAATACTTTTACGGATATACATTCAAATATTTATATTTTGTATACTTAATAATTATTTTATTTAACTGTAAAATTTTTGGGCAAATTTTAACTTTTTACAATCCAAACTAAAGGCTATTTGGATTGTAAATAAAAAGTAAAAGAACAAGTGTAAAAAAAAAAAATCAATTTTTTTTCATTTTTAATTGGAATAAAAAAGTCCGCAACATTTTCTTTCTAGTGCAAGTATGTATTTTTGTTTTTTTTTTCTATTTTATATACTTACATTTTATTATATAACAAGAATTTAATAAAATATTTAATTTATTAAAATATATTTATAATTTAGGTATTTGTATAGTTTTAATAATATTTTTATTTTTTTATAATTATTAAAACTTTTTTGCGCAATGTGGACGGCTCCCACGAATGCTTTGGTGGTTGTATTGCCACAATTGCACCTCTATATTTTAGAGAAAGCCCGGCTAATAATTTACCTACTTCTTACTGGAAATAATGTCGCACAGGAAAATATTGACTCATGGCACTATTTTCCAAAATATTGACAATCCTGTTCTTGGTTTAGTCATCTCGAACGTATATCTCCTACAGTATAACTTCGGTCGGGTATACGAAGTAGTATTTCCTGATCGATGTACTTGGTGACATAGATAATCCAGTTTTTGAGATTATGGTTCTGGTGTTGTATACACTGATGGATCCCAAACGGATCTGTATTGCTTAGTGTTTCAAGCTAAAGTACATGCAATAGAGATATACCTGGGAGTGAACTTAGAAAGGTAGAAAATGACTCTTTTGTGTAGATTCTGCCAGGATAACGGGGAGACGGCCCTACATATTCTGTGTGACTGTCCTTTTCTGACTGTCAAGAGTTGCAGATGGTTTGGACGGGGCTCTCTCAATGTTGGAGAGCTCATACGTCCTGACGTATATTCCTATGGAGTATTTATTTTGAACCGGGGTTGTTTAAATGGGATATGGGGGTAGGATCAGGGAAGGAGGGAGTTCATTAAGCCAAGGTTGACTGCGGTGGACTTTCCTCATATCTCCCTTCATCAATCTACAATTTACATGTAGAAAAACAAATAATATTCAGAAGTAATAAATCGAAAAACCATCGTGTACACATACGTACCTCTAAACGTAATAAAATGTAAAGTTCTATAAAAAAAGTTTTTATAAGAAATTTCTGATATAGTAATCAAATATGTAAAAAATTTCCTGCAGTATAAGGTATTTTTACTGAAATTTATTAAAATAAAAAAATCTACAAAAAATGGGCTATGCATATTTTGACTAATTGTGGATATGAAAATTACTTCAGATTGATATAATTAATTGATTTTGATCGATATTAAATATTTCACATTCTCGAAGTTCAAAGTGTCACTAATGAAAATTATCTCATAATAATTCTATAATGATGACCAGTAAGAGGTTCGAATAATTCACTTTCATAATTAGAAATAACAATATTTCACTGATGGTTTGAACCTTTTATAAAGTTATCTTTTGAAAACAACAATTGATATATTTTTATTTGTAATAAAATGTAAATTTCATTTTTAAAATAAAATAAACACATAAGTATAAGACGCCGAGTCGTATACTTAATGTCTGCAATATACTTTGTTCACGTAAATAATTATGGTATATTAAAACTTTTTCTTTGTTCAAGCGATCGAAAAACAATATTGTAAAATAATGAAAAATCCAAATTATTCTTGGAAACTTATCATAAATTAATAAAGCAAAAAATTAACGAAACTATTAAAAAAATCAAGGAGAAATTAATTCTTGCATTCGAAAACAGAATCACTACAAAAAATAATTCATAAAACTATTTTAATGTCTTAAATTTTTAATAATGGCAAAACAAATTTTCATATAGCAAACGTACGTGTTTAATTATTTATAGCAGAACTTTACAACTTATAACGAAAAATTTTAAATTTTCAAATAACTTTATTAACTTATAGTAGCTATACATACACAAACCTGTTTATTTCACAAGAAAAAAAAAAAATAAAAGTATAAAGTTTCAATTCGTAATATTGAATATTTTTTTTCTTATTTATTTTGAATCAATTGTCAGATTAATTTATTTTTTCTCCACATATTAAGCTACACATAATAATTATTTTCTGTACTTACCTATGAATCTCTGGTACCTAAGTATATAGTATAAATAAATAGTAATAATAAATTATACGTATAAACAAATTTATCATACACACTTAAAAAATAAAATTGGTTTCTAACAAAGCACATTTACTGTGAACAATTAAAGGTGATTTAAAAACGCCTTTTCCAAAAAAACAGGCTTAAATGAATCACTTAAGTCACGTGAAAAATATTTGGTACATGTTTGTGTATTTTTGGCGTAAAAAACATTTCTCTACATTCTGGAATTGAGGAATTTAAAAACTGTTGGTGGTTTTTATACAATAAATTGATAACAAGGGCTAACTTTGATGGCAGAGTAGAAAGAAATAATTCGTAATCCATTCGTAACTACATTGAAGACTGTAAAAGTTTTATATAAAAAAAAAAACCTGGGGATGGACACACAAAGAAAAAATAATTAAAAAAATTTCAAATTTTATTAGAAATATACTAAAAATGTTAACCGCTCCTTACATTTAGAATTAAATTAACAATTTGATTTGTTTATTTAATAAGAATTTCAATGACAATAAATAAGATTCATGACGCCATTTGATAAAAATTTTGCATCATCTTTTACATAGGATTATCGTCATCTAGAGAAATAACAAACATTATCTTAAGCTCCATTTATTATAGCTGTAAGTATAGCTATGAATGTATGTATATATACTTATTCTTGTATTTAAATTAATCAAATTTGTTATTCCATGAGCAAGTATTTCAGCATTGATGTTGAATAATTTTTTTTTTTGTTGGAAATTGTTTAACTAATTGATTAAATAATTTTATATAATACTAAATTTGTTTTTCTAATTTATACCACTGTTTTTTGAATTCGGTGAAATATTCGTTAAGTATAATATTTATGTACAATCGTATACATATATATGCACTCATATAGAAAAATACTCTCAAGAAATTATTTGTGAAAGAAAAAACCATTGGGGATTAATTTATGTTCTAACAGAGAGACAGTGCTCATCAGTAAGCGAATCATTAAAACTCTGAGGTATGAGCATTTTTGAAAGACTGTTAAATTTAACTCTAGTTACTGTTAAATTACCAACACTGCAGTTTTGAGTAATTTGGTATAAAATTCTAACATTTTATGTCTTCTGAACATTTTGAGTGAATTTGTTAAAAACGGGTACCGAAAATTTATAAAAACCCATATGTATTTTTGTAACAACTCCTTCAGAGTCCAATATTAAATAATATTAAATCTAAATTTTCAGTTATTCAATCAAAATTTTAAATCAAGTATCCATTTACATAACTATGATTAATATAAAAATTTTACTTTCCTATAAATATCTATTGTGAATTTTTATTTGAAAAGGATTGCTTGCAATTTCCGGGTATCGTCATAAAAACCAAAAGAAATGTGTGTCAACCAAAATATCAATGCGAAATTTTATATCTCGAGATCAGAAATTTTTTTTTCTTTCGCTTTTGTCTTTTAACCATGTCACACTTATATCATTTATACTTATGTATGCCTTAACAAACAAACACATAACTATTTATTTTAATTGAATATTAAAATAAAACCAATGATGCGATAACAGAAAAAAAGTACTTATCGTAAACTCTGAGATCGTAAAAGTTTTTAATCAGAAACTAAAAAAAAATAAATAAATTAAACAACTGGCCTTGATTTAACCGAGTTAAACCTAAATCTTTTTTTCTCTTTCCTTTTTTTACCGACCGGCCGCGTTGAATATAAAAAGGGAGGTCATGTGATAGTACCAAATTTTTTGTTGCGTTTTTATATAGCAGGGAAGCGTGAATAAACTATTTTTAGAAAGATGTCGGTATGTTTGTCTGTCTATCAATATAAGTTCGGCTGAACGACTGTTCGGTTTTTGATGTTTTATATGTAACTTTATTTCGACTATGTCACGGATTGATCAACTTTTGGGATATATCAGGTCTCGCATACTAAACTCTTGTGCGGGGAGATTTTTGCGCATATAAACAGTGAAAACAGAATGATATTACAATGAACCCTTAAATATTTTGGAAAGATCAGGGCTCAGAAACTGAACAGGGACCGATTTTACATTTTGTACCATGTCTACGGAACTGATTGTGGGAATTTTTTGAAATTTGAAATTTGGCTTCTGGTTCATACCGAAACTAACTGGTGAACTTATGTGAATTCGGGGGGGTACAAAGCGAAAATTTATTAAGAGCCAAATTTACATTCTTCTACGTATGGAAAGAAGTATTTAAAAGTAATTTTAATAATCTTCTGTACAGTATACATTACAATCGACTATGTGTTGACCATATCAGATTTTTATTTTTTTTACTTTTAAATAAATAAAACCGAAAACGAAATAACATAAAAAAAAAAATCTGATGTGGTCAGCACATAACCGACCGCATTGTGTATTGTCTAGTTAAATGAAAGTGTTACAGAATATTATAAAAATGTCTGTTAAATACTTCTTTCCAATTTTTAGGACATTAGTAAGCTTATACTTAACATACTTAGAAAAATGTAAATTTGGCTCTTAGTAGAGTTTCGCTTTGTGCTACC